GAGAAAGCCTTTCCTCCAGTTTTCCGCCATTCCCTGCTGTTTCATTTTAATCACAACATTGTTGAGCAGATCTGTAACTCCAGGAGTTTTTCGAGCAAGGGTGGATGTTACGGAAGCCTAGCGGTGAGTACCCACTGCTGCTAGAAACTGATGTAACAAACACATTGTTTGCATGAAGTTGGCTTCCTTAGCCAACTGGTCAACCGGAAATGCAATCATGGCAATAGGCTGGAGTCAAGGCACGCATTTTGGTGAACAAGTCACCATATTTTTTCTGGCTTGCTGTATTTTATTTACCCTTTGTTATAAAAGGAAGGTATCAGAGTTCAACTTACTGACAGAAATGAGGAAAACTAAAAAGGAGCAGGAAAAAGACCATAAAACCACCCGGACTAGTCATTCAGTGAATCCTTTTATGGTTAGTGGGTATCTCCTTACTGTGTTCTATTGGGTCGTTATTCTTGGGGATGATTCATCTTACAAATTGCCACTGGGCACTGTTTCCATCATCAACAAAAGATATAGAGCCTTCATGAGAGAAGCGCTCGTTCTGGTGTATAAAATGTATGCGTGTCATATCTCTTCTTCCTTTTAAAGCTATGCACATTTTGAATGCTCTCCTTGTAAGCTCTGCATGACTGGTCACAGACCTTAGGAGATTTGCATTAACTGAACAAGAGTGGAAATTCACCTACATTTGATTAAGCCAGGTGATTGCAATGGAGCTCTCCTGGGTTGAACGCAGCTCCTGTTGTACTGGCTTATTATTATTATTATTTTTTTTTAGAGAGGTTTTTGCTATAGGGTGCATGCGCTCGCCAGAAAGACAGAGAGGGACAGAGAGACAGAAAGCGCGAAATCACCCCCGGGGGGGATGGTCATGCCGTAATTCCTTCTCCTCCATTCTCCTCTCGGGATCTTGGGTACGCATGCACACACACCCGGCGTGAGTTTAAGCCACCAGGTCCGAGACTTGAACTGTGGTTGACTACATGAGAGTCTAGTGACATAGCCATTACGCCAACTACTGGTCCCTGTACTGGCTTATTTTGCACTAAAAAAATAAATAAATAAGTAAAATTAGGGTATAAAATTTGCAGCGTACCTACCAAAAGAGACTAAAAGTCTTGCCATGTCGATAGGTAAGGAGACAGGTAAGTCGACAGAGAGACAGACATACAAAATCAACTTAATGTAGCATAAATTACATATCACATACCCACGTTACATACAGAATACACTTTTTTTCTTTTTTTGCACAAGAACTTTTACTTCTATGGAGATCAAAAGATGGTATGGAGACCTCCTTGCTCACTCTCTTCCACAGTGGAGCTCAGAAAAACTGAGCCACACTACACAGATGGTCACACAGATGGTCAGTGGCAAAGGAGGGAGGGGGTGCCCAGTTTGGAGGTCCCAATAAAAATCAGCCCATTGATTTGGTTATTATGAGCAGAAACTCACCCTTGCTGGGGGAAGGAAAAAAGGGCTGCGTGCAGCAATTAGCAATGAACATCCAGCTGCTGGCTGCAGAGCACAGAGAAGGAAGCCAAGGAGCAATGTCTTAGAAGAGTGTAAAGAGAGATGGAGGGTTATGTGGAACGCAGGTCCGAGAGGGTTTGCTGAAAAGTGGAAATCCGAGGTATTAAAGTAATTCCAACTAATGTGAGCGTCTACATGCTGACAAATAAAATTTACAAATGGCTTTTTAAACTGCTTCCTCTAGCAACAAGAGCTGTTATTGTCACATCGATTTTGAAATTAAACGTTATGGAATTTTCTGGCTTTAATGAGAAGGCAGATCCAACTGGTAAACAAAGTAATGATTAAAGCAATTAAAAGAGTAAAAATGAGAAATAAAGTAACAATACTCCTAATCCTTAACCCAAATAGGCAGGTTTTGCTGACTTACAAAAGAAAAAAGAAAGAAAAAAGATACATGTTCTAGAGGTGAAAATACTGAGGAGGTCACTCACCACGAGGAAACCTGCCCTTCAGTAAGAGGCAAAAAGTCAATTAGTAATGTCATTTGTTTAAAAATCTGCTCGCACCTGGTTCTCATTTATCCTCCAGCTGAGAAACCAAAGACAACTTCTTTTTATTGCTTGTGGTCAAATAGCAAGTTCATTTCGCCATGGGATGATCAAACGGCCGGCCTCCCCCAGCCTGAGAGGGTTGCCTTTCACTTTCAACTTGTTCAATCATCATTAACTCTGAAAATTGTCACATTCCATTTGTGCAATGAAAATTTCACCACTGGGGACCGTTTGGGTGAAGTTTTTGTAGGCGAGGCCCTAAATCTTGTGGAGCACCTCACACGTTCTCAAGGTCATTTGCCTTGTTTCCTTTTGTGTATGTGTGTGTGTGTGTGTGTGTGTGTGCATGTGTGCATGTGTGTGTGTGCGTGCGTGCCTGTGTGGCCATAATAGTGTGTGTGGGAGAGTGGGTGTTTCAGACGGGATCTCGCTATGTCACAATGCTCCTGCCTTTTCCAAGATTCTGGAGTCTGTCTATGGCCTGACATTGACAACTTGAAGAGGCATCTGTGTGTGAATACCTGTTACCCTTTCTGAGTCAGAGAGGGATTACTGGGTGATTCGGCACATGTCTTATCTGAGAAGAACCAAGCTGTGTGCACGTGTGTGTGCAAATCCACACATGCACATATATACTTGGTAAAAATCCCAAGCAACAGTAAACGTCTTCTTTACTGGGGAAATATTAGTAAAGAAGTCCCGATGGATCCCATTTAAAAGCAGGGTTCCCAGGACCATCAGATGGTGTAATGAGTAGGTTGCTAGACCCCCATGTAGTTGACTTCGGTTTGAGTTCTGGACCTGGAGGCTTAAAACTCATGCTGGGCACATATGCGTGCATGCCCAAAATCCTGAGAGGAGAATGGAGGAGAAGAGATTGGCCATCCCCTCTATGGGTGATTTCTCACTTTCTGTCTCTCTGGAGAGTGCACATGCCCTATAGCAAAAATCTCTCTTAAGAACAATTTAAAAAGCGAGGTTTCTTCCCTGAGAAGCCAGCTTCCCTGGATAACCTGGAATATCCCACTGAGGATGTTCTAGAAAGCTCCTGAAAAGAAGAACTAGGCTTCTTTTTACTTTCGCCACAGGACTTAAGAAATCATCCTCTCTGCTCATTATTTAATATTTCCCCCTCTACAGGGAAGTGCTGAAATGTTAAATCCCACTGATTATGGCACAGTGCCAAATTCCTGACAGGCACAGTACAAATATGAATTCCTGAAAGTGGAAGTCAAGCAGCAAGATGGCTAAATTAAGAGGTCACTGGATCCAGGGTTTTAAGGAAACCATGGAATCTCTCAGGCAAGTCACATTTTGTGCCATTTGGCAAGTGAGTCGGCCCTTTTTATGGGTCCTGACTGCATTTTCAAGGCCAAAAGCAAGAGTACGTGTATACGGTGCTCTTCAGGGCCCAAGTGCTGGCCACTAACACGCTTGGTAAATAGTATGCGAGAAGGATTTCCTGATTTCCAGCTCCAGTGTTAATTGCGGGGTTTCACTGGGTGAGCTGCCGAAGTAAGAAGGTTATCACTAAGTCCGGGTTATAGACACAAGGTCTTGATCCGTTTCAGCTATTTCTGGCTCATAAAATATTGGAATATTTATTGCTGCCAATATCCAATGTTTAATTGAATAGTAGAATTTCAGAGCAGGAGAAAGGGCAGAAAATGTCTCATGATTTTTTTCCCAGTTCCTCCAGCTAATAATACCCGATCAGACCCTGGGTCTAAACATGATCACGTGCCTCCTGAAACATGTCCAGTTCCTCCAGCTAATACCCGATCAGACCCTGGATCTAAACATGATCACGTGCCTCCTGAAACATGACAGAGAATGCCCTGCTGTTTTAATGGCTCAGTTGATAGCACCACCTTTTTCTGGTTGTTGTTTCAAAGATCTATTTATTTATTTAATTTTAGTTGTTATTATTATTTATTTTTAAAATTTGACTGGAGAGAGACAGAGAGAGTGAGAAAGCAAGCCACCAGGTTTGGGACTCAAATGGCAATCAGTCATGTGGTAGTCCAGTGCCTTAACCACCATGCCACCTGCAGGCCCTGACAGCACCATCTTTTTTTTTTTAAAGAGAGATTTTTGGTATAGGGTGCATACACTCACAAGAGAGACAGAAAGTGAGAAATCAACCCCCCCCCTGGGGGGGGATAGCCATACAACAATCCCTTCTCCTCCATTCTCTTCTCAGGATTTTGGGCATGCACGCACACACGCCAGGCGTGAGTTTTAAGCCACTGGGTCCAGGACTCAAACCATGGTTGATTACAGGGGAGTCCAGTGACGTAACCATTATGCTATCTGCTGGTCTTCAGCACCACCTTTTAAGAAGAGATTCTCATATAAGGTTATTAGCTGAAAAAACTGCAAAATTTCCCAGGAGAGATATTTGTATTCAAACATTTGCCTATGTCCCCTGTGTTCTTCAAAGTGTTCTATAAATATTGACTCCTTTCATCCTTACAGTAGTAATTCCAAGAGGTGATGTAACTTACCCAAGGTCACAGAACCCAAGAAGTCTAGATCTGTATTCATTATACCATGTGGCTGTATTTTCCATGACGACCTCTCAGGATGTGAAACCCATTTATCTGTTGCTTCGACTGGGCAGATGGTGCACAGGGAAAAGGGTTTCATGGGATTGAAAAATGAGGATCAAGTCTCCAAATGTCTCCTTTCTCCTTGCACTGACTTCTTCTCCTCTCTTGCCTCCTCCACTGTGGAGGTCATCCTTCTACCGCTGGCTCCTGAGCTCGCTCACTAGCGTCCCTCCATGTGTCTGTCTGTCTACATATTTCTCTCCCTGAGACACACACACACACACATGGGCACACACACGCACAGCCATTACTGTGCTTCAGGGAAGCTGCGCAGGGTTTGTGGTCCAGGCATAAAACCAGACATCATGTGCTCATTAGAGCTGAGTTTTCGGGACGTGCCCCACTTACTGACCTCCACCAACGGCCTGGGTTTGCGCTCGACTGCAAACCTGAAGTGGCAGAGCTCACAGTAGCTGGTGTTTGAGGACGACAGCCAGTGCTCCAGGCAGCTCCGATGAATTGTCCCCAAGGTCCCCGTACATTCACATGGAGAGAGCAAGTCCTCTTGGCTGCTGCCCTCATGGCAGATCCTGCACATCGGCCGGTCATTGAAGGGGCTGCAAGAGAAGGAGGGGCACCTGCTGGTCACTGGCCTGGAAGGCGCTGCCACACGGACGTCCTCTAGCTCGGCGTCCTTTGGGCCCTTCCCAGTGGCAGCTGATCAGAATAAACACCTGCTCTAAGACCCCTTACAGATCTAAGCTTGACCTTGGCAGTGCGGCCAGCAGTGCCAGGCCACTCCAGGGCACTCTGGCCTTCTTCTTTTGCCAATACAAGGAAATAGGGGGTGGCCAATATCAAAGTAGATGGGTATGGCCCAGGGCCAAAAGGGAGTGAAAATAGCAACGTGCTACTTTTGCCTTAGAACACAGATGTAGTTCAGGCAAACTCCAAATCAAAAACTAAAAACCATGCCTCACCATTAAGAATAGAAATTGTTTTGAAGTGACACCAATTGTAGTTTCGAGACAAACTGCATCTTTTGAACCAGGCTAGGAGACTTTTGTATACCCGGAGGCTCCTTTCTTTTCTCCTTTCAATAGGGTAGGAGAATGAGAAGGGGAAGTAAACCCGCTACCGACCCCGAGGCCTCCAGAGCACAAAGCTGAGTGGCGAATGGGGCTTTGAGTTTTCATGGGATGCCAAGAACAATAAACTGAGAACGAGTAATGAATCTGTCCTCCTGAGGTGGCTTCTGTCTGGAGTTCTGTCTTCAGTTGGGAAAACCCACTCCTGCATTCTTGGGAAGGCAGCACAGGACAGTTAGTGGCTCACGAGCGAGGTGTGCAATCCAGCTGCTAGGGCTCGAACCCCAGCTCTGCTGCTTACCAGCTGGCTAACTTTGGGCAAGTAACTTCATCATCCTGTACCTTAGTCTCCTCAGCTCTAAAATGGGCACAAGCAATGGTGTCTTCCTCATAGGGTGACTGCGAGGATGAGAAAAGATAGTCCAGATTGGTTTAGGATAGGGAACAGCACACAGAAAATGGCTAGTTAATGTGAGCTGCTGACACTTGTGAAAAAACTTAGGCCAAGGAAAAGCAAATAACAGCCCTCACCCTGTCAGTCAGTGGCCAGTAGAAAGAACAAACGTTCTCATCTCGCAATGGGTGCCATCTCCCTCTCTGATCAATGTCTTATGTTGTTTGTGCTGTTCTTTGCTGGGCATTAGATTTTTATCATGTATTTGTTTATTAAAAAATGTACCAGTGGGTGTGTGTACTCACCAGGGGAAGAGACAGAGACAGAGACGGAGAGGGAGAGAGAGAGGGAGAGGGAGAAAGCACCTCAATGAGGTGTAGTCATGTAATCCCTTCCCCTTTGTTTCTCCACCTTGTCGGGACTTTGGGCATGCATGCACATGTGCCCCGTGTGAGCTTTCAGGCCACAAGGGCTGGGATCTGAACTGACAAGCGGTCATGTGCGATCTGGTTGTCTTAACCACTAGGTCACAGATTGGGTCTGGGCATTCGATTGTAAACTATAGTCAATGACATCCTGGTCGATGACGGACTGCCTAGATGTACTACGGTGGTCTCGGAAGGAGCATGTGGGTAGATCCCGTAGCCGAGTGTGCAGGAGCTCTATGATCCAGGCTGTGTAAGTGCCTTCTAGGTGCTGACACCGAGTGGAATCAGCTGTGCATGCATTTCCCTGAACTCCTACCACTGTGCTGCACACGGCTGTGTATCAGCCCAACGACCCGTCTATGTGCTCTCCCCGCCTTTCCCCAAGTCTTCCAATCGTGATAGAGACCCAGGCCCAGGTTCCACCTCTCTCTCTTCATTAATTAAGATCATCTTTTTATTAATTAATTTGTTCTTTATTTATGACAGACCAGAGCACACGCACGCGCGCACACACACATGAGATGAAGGTAGAGGGAGACAGAAAGCGACAAGCATCCTCCGCAGGGTCTGGTCATGCTGTGAGCCCCTTCCGTCAGCCCTCCGCTGGACCGTGGGCACTCACGTGTGCATCCCGTGCACACTAATCTCTACCACGCCATCTGTGGTACAGACAGAAACAGTCATGGAAACACTGTCATTTCCCCAAAGGAATGTTCCTGGGAATGAGTGAAGGTTAAGAGAGGGAATGACTCCCCCATATCTCCCTCCCCCAACCTGCTCATGTGCTCAAAAGACTCAGGAAAAAAAAAGTCAAAAAGAGGGAACTTTTTCTTCTGAAGATTCCGGGCCTCCTTCAATTCACACTGACCATTCGCATACACAACTCCGAAATCTCTGATTTACATTCCTACATGGTGGGAGAGCAGGTGGAAAGGCCACATGCACACATACACACACATGCACACGCGCGCACACACACAGGTTCACAGGCCAAGCCATTTCAACCCCAGCCTGCTCTTCCTGATTAAATGAGGTATTTGATGGTTGCGAGGGTGACCGGTGCATATCTAGTCCCTGTCTTGGTTCACAGAGGATCAAAGATATTCTCCACCTCAGTGTGTTCTGAGTCCTAAGCAATGCTTAGACATTCTCTAAGAGGAAGAAAGTAACATATAAAATATTTCTGTATTTCTTTCCTTTGTAACAGCCACACAGATTTTAAAGAGAAGGCATACAATATCTACGGTATGTGCGGGTGTGTGACTCCACATCTGAGGGTCACCCCGTCCAGGCTACGGTGCTACCAGCAGTCCTGGGGCAGGCACATGGGTCTGAGAGCCTGTGTCTGCACCAGACGGGGTGAGCAAATCACTCAGACCAGAAGCGAACGATTGTCCCAAGTTTGAGGGTCAAAGCGTCAGTGCTGGCACAGGGGGGAGAAATCTGGTGTAGACATACATTTTACATTCACAGGTCAGGAGGCCCACGTATCCATTCTGAGGGAAAGCTGCAGAAGCCCAGGAGCACCTGTTAGCCTGGCAGCTTGAAGCTCCCATTCTGCAGCAATGACATACCCGGAGAGCCCCCAGGGACAGAGTCCTGGCCTGAGATGTGGGCTCCGGGCTGTTTGCAACCCTCACTCTTGCTCTGGTTCATCACATAGGAAGACGAGCTGGGGAGCTTTGAATGACAGCACCTCATAGGGTAGGCTACGTGTGAAGGGCCACAGAGGGTGAATGAGGGGACAAAAGAAGAAGCCCTCAAGTGGTGAGAGGAGACTGGCTTTGGAAGGAGTCCTGGACAGCGTGTCCATCAGGCGATGCTGATCGGCATGCACACCCGCTCTGTCCCTGCAAAAGTTTTGCCCACAAATCCAATCTCCGACTCAGTCCCCTGAAATCAGGTGCTTTCTTCATTCTGTTCTAACAAAGGGCTACCTCTGTTAGCTCTTGTAGACAATGAGAACGTAGTCTCCATGGCAATGCCAAAATAACAAATGTAAAGCAAGCAAGCCCACCTTGAGTGGGACCCTTCCCTGCCTGGCTCTCTCCAAGTGTGACTTTAAGGGAAAACTCAACAATGTGAATTTAAGCTGTATCTCCTATTGCTATAGAAACGGGGAGGACAGAACTCATGTAGTATTTCTTTTTCAGCCCCTCCTCTCACCTGACACAAAGACCTGAGCACTAATTACATTCCCTTTAGCATTTTTCATCTGACAAAGAGTTCTCCAGATCAATTACAGATTCATTTATTTTAATTGTGGTACTACCTCTGGGTGGCAAGAGTCCGCACTACTGTTGACAGCAGCTGCCCGTCCTTGGCTGAAACTTGCATGACATACTGCGGCTGCCCATTCACCAGGCTGCCACAGTCCTCCACGGTCTTCACCACGGGAGCAGCAGAGCTGGTGCAGTCTGGCAGGACTTCGGGCAGGTGACTGCAGCGGCTGGTTGTCATGGTAACAGACAGCAATTACTCTGCTAATGGCTTCCACATTCATACAGGATTTCCATCTAAGAGAGATCAGAAAACAGTTTACTTGGGCAGAGTGGTTAATAGAAAGCGGAGAATTATGGGCCACCGACATCATCATGTCACCATTTAATATAAATAACAAGGATAGCCTAGATGTGGCATGTTATCTTGTTACCATTTAATACAAGTGTGCCTGAACGTGCGTACAGGCGCGCACACACCGCCCACGAGAACAGTGGACATGGTTATGAACAAGCCTGCAAGCGTGTCGGTGTGTATAAACATTTAGGAGCCCTGCTTTCTGCCAGGGGACGGAATGATGGCTCTGAAGCCCAGATCTGAAGCGAAGACAAGCAGTTCTCCTGCTCTGCACCAGGGAAGCAATAAGTCTTTGTTGACACTCTCTAAAAGTTACTAGAATCATGATTAAAACTGCTTGTAACTATTTTTTTTTGTACACAGTTTATTCTCCATGCAGCTTTATTCGGAGATACTAAGATTAAAAAGAGAGAGAGAAAGAAGGAAAACAAAACAAATTTGGTCAAGTAGCATTTTCTAGGACCAGAGTTTCCAAACATGAATCATTCATTATTGTACCACTGCTGTGGCTTCTGCCACATCCCTGCCCCATTATATAATTATCTATGTAATCTATCTTGAAAAGTAGCTTCCACAACTTAACCTGGCTGGCCCCATAGCACGGTGGTTAAGTGCTTTGGGAGCTGAATACCACATAGCTGACTGTAGTTCAAATCCCAGCCATACTGGCTTGGAAAACACTCTGGGCATGTGTGTGTGCATGCCCCAAATCCTGACAGGATAGAAATGAAGGAAAAAGGATTGTGATGTGACCACACCCGTTGGGGGTGATGTCTCTCTGTCTCTCTAGTGAACATGTGCACCTTCTGGTAATAAAAAATAAAAATAAATATCAAACCTATTTTACCTTTGTCTTAAAAGATTATCGGTGAAATAATGAGTTAGATGCTTGTTTGCTTCTAGTAGACATTAAAATAAATACATCAGCATAGATTCTTGTGTGTACAAAAAAAATCCACAGATCCTTGCATCATCATAGGGAAACACATGGGAGAATGTGAGAAAGTAATGAATGAGATTTCTATGGCTAATTCAAAATAATCCTTTATTAATAAGGGCCTTCCCTCCCTGACACAGTCTATCATATAAACTGTGAGAAATTCTGTGTGGTGCAGGCTTGGGTCATGACCTCAAGTTCAAAGCATTCAGAAGCACTGAAGTGAGGAGCCCCACCACAGCCAATAATAGGTCAGCATGTGATGCAGAAATAGAGGCTTTACAGAAACCTGCAGGAAGAATTCTGTCCAAAGGTGAGATGACACGGTTTCGTGGTTCCTGGGCGCTATGTCTGCAGCCCGCTCACCTTACGCTTCTGACAGGGTTGGCTGACAGACTGAGTCACATGGATAACTGGTCTGGGTGGTCAAGGCCCCAGGTACAAATAAATGAAAATTCTGTCCAGCCCCTAACTCCAAGAGGCTTTTTGGAATTCCTCAAGGGATTGTTTCCTCCCAGGTATTGGTCTCTACTTATTACATTTTATGTAATCCCTACTGGACTGGACAACAGGGTCTGCCCAACTTTCAAAACAGTGAGCATCAGCTGGACACTCAGAGCGAGAAGATGGCGTTTCCAGGTGAACTTGAGCTGACAGCGCCTCCTGACATGCGCACGTGGCAAGTAGCTTTGACTGTCCACGACTGGATGTGGTCATGGCCTGCTTGCTGCTGAGGTGTCTGATTGGCCTCCCTCCAGCAGTCTCCCTTTCCCGTCCTCTGTGGCTTGCCATGAGCCTTCTTGGGGTCTGCATCTGCCCTTGCCCAGCAGCCCTCTGGAATCTGGCACTGGGGAGAGGGCTGTGGACCCCAGTCTCTGCCTGAGGTCTGATATGGAGCACAGGGAGGGACTGTCCCTTCCAGGCCATTTTCATGACTATTACCACTGAACTCTCCAGCAACACAATCGGACAGCTGATTTACGGTACAGGATAGCTTTTTAAATAGGATTTGTTGCCCCTCTAACCACCATTTCACTTTTAACATTGCAAAAGCAATTAGTATATGTTATAGAAAGCACAGAAAAACATTGAAAAAAGAAACAATAAAACTCACTCATAATCCTACCACTTCAATAACCACAATAAAATCTTAGGGTGGGTGTCTTTTTATTTTTCTGAAGGGGTTGTAGAATAGGTTGATTTGTAGATGGGGGCGAGATATGGTAGCTTTCAGGTCAAAGAACGAAATGATGTTAAAAGACTGTCCTCTCCTGAAACTCTGGATAACTCCCCTCCCCTGGTTTGCCCTTACAAAGCCCCATTGACATGATTTTAAATTCTCATAATGTCTCACAGTCACAAAGTGTAACTTCCTGGCACAGCTCTCTCGCTTTACAAGGCAGCCATAGATTAAGAGCCAGGGGTGTGTTGGCAGGAAAAGCAGACACAGTGACCTTCTTGCCGCATGGAATCATTATGTCTGGGTGCACTCTAAGAGTCTATTTTTGGGTTTTGCATAACTCCAGCTCCGAGGGCCAAATGCTCCGTCTCTACACTTGACAGAACTGGAAGAGGGCGGGGAGGGGATACGCAGAGTGTATGAATGGAACCCCGGGTTGTCAGTAGTTGGGCTACCCACAGTGAAGGGCCTGCCACTCAGGCATGTAATGTCCCCAGGCTCACTCACCCGTAATCTAGATTAAGTCCGCCTGTAAGGAAGTAGTTCTAAATGTATGGCTAAATCCACAATAGAATGCCATTAAAAATATTTTAGAAGCAAGCAGGGTTTCACTTCAACTCATTTTATTTCTACAATTTCACTTCTGGATGACATACTTCATTTCACTCCCCTTCTCCCAAATAAAAAAGATATTATCTACCATCGGGGTTATTCCATTTGCACAGGTGCCAGGCACTTTGTTCAGCATAAAAGAAGAAAAGGTCCTTCTACTTTGCCTTCTCCTACAAGCAACCCGTGGTTTTCTCTAGTGCTGTGTCTGCTGAATCCTTACCCAGCTCAGGGCCTGAGATGGAAGTCCCTCCCGGCGCTCTCTGAAGAAGACGCCAGCATGTCCGCTCTACAACACTCTTCAGAATAACCTTGAGATACTACGACCGCATACCAGTGACGAGTCCCAACAGTCCTAAAAGACTATGCCTTACATTTAAAATGGGGTAGGAAGAATTTGCAGAGCACGAGTAACTTTGACCATGATGGAGGTGGCTAAGTTGGTCCCCATCCCAGAGGAACGGACCCACTCAGGTGGAGGAAGAGGGAAGGGATCACGTTCCATTTTGCTCTGATCTCAGTGAAACGGAAGCCCAGAGACCCAGATGCAGGCATGGGGCGGGCAGTGTGGGCCTTGCACGCTGCACACACCAATTGGCATGCATATGTTGCACCTAGGGCAGTGACAAATGGCCCATTGCATTTTCTCTGTGTCTTTCAGAGCCACCTGGGAAAACAGCAGGCTGTTACCGTGGATGCTAGAAAGAGCTGAGCTGTCGGTTTGCAGCCTAGCACTGGTCTTTCCCTGATCGTCCTGCAAAATTTCAAGCACCATTCGACTGCTATTTTATTAATCCCAGTACATTGTTCTTGTGGGAAAGTAGCTTCTCAGGCCACCCAAGAATTCTTCTCCCTGAGATTCAGGACAAAAACAAAACAAAACAAAACACATAGCTAAGAGGGAGTGGTGTATGTGTAAACTCGAAACCTCAACCTGCACTGGTAGGACAGGTCCCTTGTTGGACAAGCTTGACACCTTGCACGATTTCCTTCTCAGGCTGAGAATGAAACATGATTTGGCATTGACCACACTCAGCGGCACACAGTGGGAAGGGGGGAGTAGGTGGAGAGGGAGACAGTGTGAAAGAGGGGGTGGCTAAACACATGCGAGTCTGATTAGAGAATTGTTCAAATAAAAAGGCTTATCTGTTAAACTGTGACCCTGCAAAGGACACAGTACAGGTGTTACAAAGCAGGAGACCCACCAGGCTGCAGCAAATTGTCTCCTTGTTTCTGGAACCGGCTGCCATTGGTAAGTGATTTCCATGGGAACACGGCTGGCATTGTGAAGATGGGTGCACGGGGTGTGGGGAGGGAAGGGAAGGTGCTATGCTTATCTCTGCAGTCCCCTCGGCCCCCAGACCTCCAGGAATATCATGAAGGGAGGGGGAAAAGCTCTGTGACTTGAGGCACAACATGCAGACCTGTGCCCTGGCGTGCCACCCACCAAAGTAATTCACTCAGCCTCTTAGACTTTCCTGAGATTCCCTGAACATTCCAAATTAGGGTACTAACACTTCCGGAGCCACATCACTGGTTGCTTGTGAGGCCTAAAACAAGATAATACATGTGAATGCACTTCGTGAGTTGGAACGTGCCAAGCACATGTAAGTCTGCATTTTATTCCTAGGTTAACCTGAATTCCTGTTCTTTTTCTAGTCCAGGATGGATCTCGCCTCTGTCTTTTAAAACTGTCTTCCCTCGTGGCTGGTCAGCCTGTATCACGCTGCACCTTTTGTACACATCTGATGGCCTGACGTCTGACACTGTGCCATTCCCTCTCGTTCGTCCAGGGAGTACAGAAGGACCCTCATCCTTGCATGTCCACTTTTTATTTTCCCTAGCTCTGGGAAAAATAAATACAATTAAATTACAAAAATCTCAGGTTTTATTTTTCCATGAAAATGTTTACTGAAGGTATATAGTGAAAAAACTACAATGGTGTTGGAGATTCTCGAGTCTGTTTGTGACATTGGTACCTGTTTGGATATACAAATTACCTGGGAAGTTTAAGGGTGAAACAAAAGCATTACGTAGGAGTGCTGGCTGGCACTAACCTGGTTATATGAACTGCTTACGCAGTGGTCTACACAGGCTGAAGCTCAGAGGACAGTCTGTATTAAGAGTGTTCTTCCAAATTCAATCTTTTTTTTTTTTCAAATTAAGAAACTTTTTTTTTTTTTTTGGAGAGGTTTTTGCTATAGAGCACACAC